TCTCTCTCTCTCTCTCTCTCTCTCTCTCTCTCTCCCTCCCTCCCTCCCTCTCCTCTCCCCACCACTCTCTCTCTCAGACACACAAACACACAAGCACACATATGCACACACACACAGTAGCACACAGAGAAAACAAGGAGGTTCAGAGAGAGGAACAGGCACATAATTATTGGTAAAACGCTTGTAATGTTTTTCTCTCTACCCGGTAGCTTTCAGTTGTTTTAGCAGCTTAGCGAAGCACTTGGCTCCAATTGAATTGCAAATCAGCAGCTCCTGCCCCAGGAAGAGAGGAAGGGAGGCGGCAAGGAGAGGATAGGGAGGGATTCCAGAAGGAAAGGGAGAAAGGTGTGCAAGGAGGAAGGGCAGACGGAAGGAAATGAGCGAGGGGAGCTTGATTCATGGCCAAAGGCACCAGAAACAGGGACCGCCTGCTCACCCCAGGCCTTTTTCCGTCCTCATCTCCATGCTCTGTGGGCTCAGTGGCCCAACCAACGCCCCACATGAAAAATCAGGACACATTTTCTAACCATAATCTTGGGGTGGAGCAGGAGGGCCACAAGGGGCTTTCTCAGTGACCCAGAAGAAAAACATATCTTTCCTGGGAGTTGCAATTATTTGAAAACAATGTCAAAACAAAATTCTTACTCTTTCTACCTGTCAAGCTCCAATATTCATATTTGGCAAGCTCCAATATTCATATTTTATTCTATCTATCTGTCTATCCTTTAATCTACTCTTCCGTCTGTCTGTCTTTTTCTGTATCCGCCTGCCTATCTCTTCCTCCCTTCTGTTGTTCACCAGCACTTCCTTTTCCCCTCGTGGTTCAGAGGAGGGAAGTTGACCCAGTAGCTGGCAGCGGCAGGGGCTGCTTCAGCACCACGGACAGCGCCACAAAGCTGGGTCCTGGCCCCGACACGTTTACTCAACTGGGCCTAAGCTCTCACCATAGGACAGTCCCCAAATTCCCAGATACTGCTCCCAGGGGAAAACTCTATCTCTGAAAGAGGAAAGAGGAGAAAAGAGCTGGTCAGGCCTGGCACCCTGTTGGTGGAAGAATACCTCTGGGCCAACCAGCCAGCACTAACCTTGAAGAGACGAAGGATGTTGGCCACCATGATGGAGACTGAGCTCCCTGAAGCACCGATGACACCCACCACACGTTCAGGCTTGGTAATGATGGGCGGGCCGCCACTGCCACAGCGGACCTCCGTGCCATCCTTCTCGATGAGCGCCTGCACAAAGGTCAGCGACTGCTCGAGGGCGTGGGTATCCCTCGAGCAGGTGTCCAGAATGCGGGCGCCCAGCGTGATGTTGGGCAGCAGGTCCGGGTCATTGTTGATGCGGTCCAGAGCAAACAGCATGGCCTCCAACCGGTGGATGCCCTTTTCTTTCTTCAGTTCTCCACAGGCCTTGCCCTCTGAGCCCCGGCCGTGCACCGGGAACAGGCCTCCCAGTGTGATGTCCCCATCTATGCGGATGGAATTCATGTGGGGGTGGCCCTTGGGCTTCCCCAGGGAGGAAGGCACCCAAGGGCCATAAAGGCTGAGGAGCAGGCAAAAGGGCAGCCGGGCCCTCCACCAGCCCCAGCCTCTCTTCCCAGGCATCTCGGAAATCCCTAGAGATCCATGAATGGCAGGCCCCACTCTTAGCCTTGGCAGGCCCCTGGCCCCACAGCCTGGGTGAGCATGGGCAGAGCGGCCCCCACAAGTCTCTCCAGGGCAGCTTCAGTAGCAGGGTGGCTGAGGGCAGCCGATGGGGTGAGCCATGCTGGTGCTCCTCGCCACTTGGGCAGCGCTCAGTTGCCGGCACAGGCCATGCCTGCAGATGACGGGGAATGGCCTTGGTGCAGCAAAGCTCTAGTCTTGGTCCTCACGTCCTGCAGGCCTGTTCTTGATGGATGACTGTGAAAGGAGGAGCGTGCTCCTAGCTTGGCGTATCTTGGCATCAAGGAGAAAACAGCTCCAATTCTCTCCTCCTACCAACCTTCAAAGGGAGAGAGAGAGAGAGAGAGAGAGAGAGAGAGAGAGAGAGAGAATCAAACAGAAGCCCAAAGAAGACATTAGTTATTCTGATCTCCCATCAGGAGCCTGAGAGGAGATGCTGGAGGTTATCGCCCAAAACTCCACAAATGCCCTGAGCTTGGTTTCCTCCTGAATGCTGCTCAACTTTAGCCAAAATAGGAGAGCTTAAGGCAGAAAATAGGTCATGTTTGAACACTTCTTAAGGCCTATACCCACTGCCATCAGAAGCCTAAGCATCAGAGAGGACACTCCCCAGGGAACAGCCTGGAACTGGCTTGGGAAGACAAGGGGCCTTCCTCAACATTCATCCACATGAAAGAGAAGCAAGAAACCAATTCTACTGGACCCAGCCCCATTTTAGAGATGAGGAAACTGAGGTCCAGAGCAGGAGAGCATTTTGCCCGAACGCCACCTAGAACCCAGCTTCCCAGCTCCCAGCTCTGGAACCAGAGACACTTAGGCTCCTTGGGGACTCAGAGACAAGGAAGGCCAAGGTTCCCTGGAGCAGAAACCAGGCTGCAAGCTGCTCCCTCGGAAAGCCAGAGGAAGCTGAGGCTGTCAGGGTTCAGGGTTCTCCTCCCAAATCAGAGCGCAACGTGGACCCTCCTATTTCGTGTTTCCACCCCAGCTGCCCAGCGGCTCCAGGCAGAGGGTAGACCCTGGGGCTCCTGAATGAGAAGCGAGCCTCCTTCTTCTCGATTGCTTGGCCACTCTCTCCCTTCCTCTCTCTGCTCATCTCTTTCTCTCTCAATGTCTCCATTGCTCCTTCTTTCTCCCCCACTTCCTCCCCCTGAGAGTGGAGCTCGGATTACGGCCTGAGCTACTGCACACTATTAGGATCATGTCATTATTGTTGTTGTTGTGATTAAATATTTATCCGCGAGGATCGAGGAGAGAACACCAGCTCTTCCGCATTCTCACTGCTAATTTGGGCTAATTTCCCCTGGGGTTCCTTCCCTCGCCCCAGCCTCCCTGCTCACAGCCAACAACTTCCCTCCCCGCAACATGGGGAGGCCACAGGGAGAAGGCTGGAAGCTGAGTCAGGGCTTGGCTAGAGGGCCAATCCCAGGCCCCCTTCCTCGTGCGTTTGCGAAATAAAGACCAGCAAGCCACCTGCCCCTTCTGTACCTCAGTTTGCCTAGCCATTTGGAAGAAGGGGTTGTGTTTGGATTGGGAGGTTTTCCCTACAGATAGGGTCCCTCTATCAAGGCCAAGCAGTGGTCTCAGAGCCACCCGCGTCCCACCTGTGATTTCCCCCCACAGAGGCCCTGACTGTTCCAGTTCTGGGGAAAGGGGAGGGGAGAAGAGGTTCCAGCACCTCAGAGTCCAGGCTCAGCATCTGGGCTTCTCTGTGCCTTCTGGACCCTCACCTCATATCTCGCCCCTCGTCGAAAGACTCCCTCCCTCATTAGCTCCTCAGAGGCCCAGGAGGCACTGTTAATTCTCCTTTGCTTCATCCTGCAGGTGAACCCTACCCAGCGGCATCCCAGTCACACAGCAGGTCAGGACAGGTCCAGGACTCAAAGCCAGCACCAGTCACACTGAGAGAGCACTGGGGACGCCCGCGGAAAAGCTTCCTAGCACCACCCTCACCCCTGAAGCCAGGATCCAGTGATCTAGGGCTGGAGGTAGAGGTCAGTGCTCTGGGGAGGAGGAAGAACGGTTAAATACAGGGGAGGAGTAACTATGCCTATATGGAACTGTGATCATCACTCACACCTCCGTGTGACCTCTTTCCCAGATAGCTGTGTGGACTGAGAGGATGTGGGGAACCAGTTGCTGATGCCAACACTGGGCAATTCAGAACGAAAAACTGAAGAAACCTTAGATCCCACAGTCCTGCTACTGTCCTGGAGGCCCCTAGAGAGTCCCCAGTTTCAAAATCTGTGAAATGGGTAGGTTAGAGTAAGACCCAGTCAAGGGGCCACATTGTCCCTGCAGGGGCATTGTCAGTTGTCATAGTGAGAGGGCGTCACCTACTAGCCTGAATCCAGACAGGGGTCAGAGATGCTGTGGGTGGGACAACCTGCACAATGAAACACTGTCTGGTCCAAATGCCACTAGTGTCCCGAGGAGAAATAACAGCAAATGACAACAAATTGCTATATGCCAGGCACTGTCCTAAGTGCTTTGCTTACATTTCCTCAGATAATGCTCACCTCCCTATGAGCTAGGTGGTATTTTTATCCCTATCACACAGATGAGGAGGCCGGGGCACCAAACCTCAGCAGGTAACAAAGAGCCCAGGGACACAGAGCTTGTGCAGGCTGCCCATGCCCTGACCAGTCCACCACACTGGCCCAGAGAGTCTCTCAGGCCCTGCCCAGCTCTAACAGGCTGGGAGTTCAGGCAGGGTTTTCCTGAATTTCAAATGGAGGGATTTTTGGCATCATGACAGGCTGTGTGCCGAGGCTGCAGCAGGGCATTCAGGCTAGGAGAGCAACCCACAGCAGCTTCTGACAGTCAGGCCCTGCTCAGGCTTCCAGAACCTTCCTGAGGGCTCAATGCTGGCTTCTCCTTGAAGCATAAGCACCTGTGGGCTAGGCAATGTGCATACACCGGCACATGCACACACACACCACAAAACACACACACACACACACACACACACACACACACACACACACACACACGCGCGGGAAGGAGACCTCAGTGAGGCGACATGGAAATATTTGCAGGAGTAGAATCAAGACCCCAAGGACAGAACCCTGCCCCAAGCTGGTCAGACTGCCCACAGGGCCTCCCTCCACGGGGACTGGGTCCCACTCCATCTCTCAGTCCTACCAGGCCTGCCTTTTCTGAGCTTCTCCAAAGACCTGGGCAAAGCACCACCTCTTCTAGCCTTCCCTCCTTCCTTTGATCATGTAACAGGAACAACAGAAAAGTAAAAATGCTGTGATTGAAAGGAGCCCCGAGAGCAGAGGCTGAGGGTGGGGCAGGTAGGGGAGCGAGGCTGCCTCCGTCAGCCCGGGAATGGAGGAGCAGGGTGGGAGGAAGCTTGGAACCCTCAGACCACCCCCCCCCAATTCCAAACCAGCCAGGGAAACTCCAACCTGGGACAGTTAGGGGGATCCCTCCCAGGTGAGGTCAACAGAATGGCGGCAGATCCGAGCCAGTGTGCCCACCCACCCCCAAGTGGGTGTCTCCTCCTGACCTTCCCTCTCCCTTCCGGGCCTCTCCCCTGGCCCCGTAGTCACTTCCCTCCCTAGCCTTTGCTAGATTCTTTGACTCCAGAAGAGGACAGAACTAGGCAGGAAGGGATGAGGCGCACAGTGAAGAACACGCAATCGTCTCCGCACAGCAATAGTTCACTGGCCAACAGCATCTTCCAGAACATTCTCTTCTGTGAAAGAGGATGTGAGGAGAGCTGGAGATGACTGCAATCCACCCTTCCCCGCAGCCCAGCCACCCCCACCACCTGAAAGCCTCTCTGCTATCTTAGGGCAGCACAGCGGTCTCCCAAACCTGCCTCAGTGACCCTTCCAAGTTTTAACAAGCAGCATTCCATGCTTTTCCAGGTCTAACCTAAATCCTTGCCTTGGCCACCAGGGCCTGAGCCAGAAACAACCACAAACCATGAAACAATCAGATCTAAAGATCACTACTATGATCTACTAAACTCAGATTTAGTTCTCACTGAGCTGCTTTTTATGCTCCCAAACCTGAGGAAATGGAATTCTCCCAAACACCAAAATAAAAGGCAGAGTCAGAGGGAATGACCTTGTGCTGTGCTCCCAGGGGTGGGGGCCGTAACCAGCAGGCTGTCCTCTTGCCGCTCTCTGAGGGGCTCTCAGGCTCCCAGCTCCTCTGCAGGCTAGACCCTCGGAGCTCAGCTAGGACAGCCAGGCCCAGCGAGGGCTCAGGGGCTGCTCAGGGGCTGCCTCCAGTCTGGTCCTCTGCCTTCTTTGAGCCAAGCCTCCCGACCAGCTGGCAGCCCCTTCCCCTCAGTGCTTCCATGTTCCCTTCAGCAGTTATTTCATTTCTATCACCTTGGACCCAGCCCAGCTCAGGTGCTCAGCAAAGCTCGGGAAGTGTGAATGGATGAGTGGAATCTGTTTTGGATCTCCTGAGCTGTTTAGATGCCTCATGTGGCACATTTCCACAGAAGAAGGAACTGGCAGCTCCACTCTCCCCAGGGGAAAGTGAAGGCAAGCGTGCAGTCTCTCCCCTCCTTCCTATACCCTCCTCCCCCAAGGGAGCTCATGTGGGTCCAAGACGCTGGGCCAGAGACCACCTCTGTAGCCTCCTGTCTCCTATCGCCATGGGACCCCCTGCACTGGAGAGGCAGTGGTGTTGCTGGCTGAACAGTCTGAACACAGGGAACAGGCCATCAGAAGCCATGCTCCACCCCAGCTGCACCAGCAACAAGCCCAGAGTTTGATCTTCACCTGCGTCCATGGGGAAAGGGGGTGACCTATGAGCTCCCTCAAACCCTAGCAACACAACCCTTTCCCCACTTGGACCACAACTTGAGGGGATCATGTCATACTCCACTTGATACCACTGCATCCCAGCCTGCACAGTGCCAGCATCCCCCACCAGGGCTTGTGGAAGTTAATGAATGATGTGATGCGAGTGAATGATTCCTGGGCTCTGCCCACCCTTCTCTCCCAGGTAATCCATTTCTATATTAGTAGAAAGGGCAACCCTGCTCCCAGGCACTCATCCAACCCACGTCTGTTCTAAGAGCAAGGATGACAGCACAGTGGTGGTCCTTTCCTGTGCCCCCTTCCCTTCACTTCCTGGAGCTGCTCCAGCTCACTAGCCTGGATCGTGAACCCTCCCAAGTTCAGAAACCCCAGACTTCCCTGTTCTACCAAAACAACAAGGGCCTGATTCAGAAGTGACTGGTTCTGTGCTGGGCATGTGGTGGGCATCGAGAAATTCGTGTGAAAGAAAGGTGGAAGGAGCGGGGGTTAGGGGGGTGGATAGAGAAAGAAATTCCTTACCTTAATGCCCATGGGAGCTAAGGAGGGAAAACCTTTCAGTCAATTGCCTGTGCTTCCCCCACCCTGATACCTCCCAGCTTCCGCCCTGTGATACTCATCCTTCAAGTAGCAACTGACATCTTTCCTCCTCCAGGAAGCCTGCCCTGGTTATCCCCATTCCTATTATCTCCTTCCTCCACCGTTAGTGCCATAAAGCCTCTCTTTGTGTTGTTATTTGGCACTGGTGAGCCTGAGAACACATTAAGGGCCTATCTGGACAGCACTGCCCTCAGCTCTGTGTCCTCTGTGCCTAGCCCAAGGTTCAAAACACAGGAAATTCTCAATAAATAACAAGACAAAGCCAGGTCCCTGCCCAGAGGCAGCATGGCAGCCACCCCACCAAGGCAGAGCCAAGGGCAGGGGGTCTGCAGCAGCATCCAGGTCCACAGAAGGCGATCACACCTTGTGCTGAATTCTTACAACCCTCTTGGTGTAATCAGGTACACGGGTCTGATAATTAAGTTCATGAACTTGTTGCAATGATGTTGCTAAGCCTTTTTGATATCCGAGGGATTATTCATTCTGAATTTGTGCCAGCTGGACAAACAGTTAACCAACTTTACTATTTGGAAGCGCTGAAAAGGCTGACCTGAAAAAGTTTGATGAAAATGACCTGAACTTTTCACAAACAATTCACGGCTCTTGCATCACAACAATGCACCAGCTCACACTGCACTGTCTGTGAATGAGTTTTTAGCCAGTAAACAAATAACTGTATTGGAACACCTCCCTACTCACCTGATCTGGCCCCCAATGACTTCTTTCTTTATCCGAAGATAAAGGAAATATTGAAAGAAAGACATTTTTATGACATTCAGGACATCAAGGGTAATACGAAAACAGCTCTGATGGCCATTCCAGAAAAAGAGTTCTAAAATTGCTTTGAAGGGTGGACTAGGCACTGGCGTTGGTGCATAGCTTCCCAAGGGAAGTACTTCGAAGGTGACCATAGTGATATTCAGCAATGAGGTATGTAGCACTTTTTCTAGGATGAGTTTGTGGACTTAATTGTCCAACCTTGTAGAATACTATCCCTTCTTCCATAACCATTCAGTTACTCAATGTGTCATTCAAATATGTGCTGAGTACCTGCCATGTTCCAGGCTCTGCTCTGGGCACTGGGGAAACTGCTGGGAGTGAAACAGACATAAATACCTGCCCTGTGGAGCCAACATTTCCAGTAGGGAGTGGCACAGGAGAGACAAATACATCTACACATAAAGGTGTGGCACTTCAGGAAATCAAGGCAGTAAGGAGACCTATCTTGACCCAGAGGGGCTTTTTCAGGAAAGAAAAAAGAAAAAGTCAGGGAAGGCTTCTCTGAGGAGGTGGCATTTGAGCAAAAATTAAAAACAGTAAAAGCATGAGCCATGTATCTGGGAGGAAAGCATCCCCGGTAGCAAGAACAGCAAGTGCAAAGGTCCTGAGGTAGGCATGTGCTTAGCATTCCTTGTTCAAGGAACAGAAAGGAGGTCAGCATGACTGGAGGGCAGTGGGAAGGGGGAGAGCAGGAGACAAGGTCAGAGTGGGCGCCAAGCACAAGATCAAGCAGGACCTTGTGGGCCATGGTGTAGACAGAGAAGTGACGGCCCACTGGATGTCTTCGAGCACAGCGACAGGCAGGGAATCATGACAAGAGAAAGCTGAAGCTCAAAGGGCAGCTACTTGCTAAGGTAGCTAAGCAAGTTTGCTTAGCTGAGGTTGCTAAGGTGAGCCACAGCAGCTCACATCAGCTGGAGGACAAAGCAAGCACCTCTCCTTGGCCCTTGATCCCACCAAGTTCAGCCCAGAATATTCTTAGCCCTGACCCTCTCCCTAACCCAGAGCCAGGGAGCCAGCCACCAAGCTCATGACTGCCCAGATCTCTTCCAACCACCAGCCCCCACTTCCGTACAACCCCCAGGCCTCTCCTTCCCACCCCCACGTGCCACCACCATCCTGTTTTCCAGCACAAGACCCAAGTGGGCAAGTGTCTTTGTTTGCAGCTGTTGCTATTGTGGGCTTCGCTGCTAATGCTGTTTCTTCCTCTCTCCTCCTTCTTCCTGTTTCCCCCTCCTTAAATCAGAGCTCCTCCAACCTCGGCACTGCCCTGGAAAGCTGGAGCCCACTAGCTTAGCGAGTCAACACCCAAACTCTACCCTCTTGCACAGCTATGAACATAACCACAGTTGTGGGTGAGACTTCTATCCCCAGGCCACAGTGAGGCCAGGCACAGAGAAGGGATAGTGACATCTAAGAAGCCATCACCCGACAGAAACTTAAGAATCAGGTCAAGTCCTCAATCTTTATTTCTATATTCAGATCTAAAACTAACCCTGTAGCAATGACAGTGCTTTAACTAGAGGTCATGGCCCCGACCAGAAAACAGGTCCAGGGGCTCTTATCTGTCCCCCTGAGGACCAGGGGTGGCTGGGGTGGGGGGCTGGTGTGGGGGACAGGGCAGGACACAAACCTCCTGGTCCTAATGCAGGCGGCCCAGCCTGGGATGAGCAGCTGGCTGAGCTCTCCTGGGACTCACTGTCGTCACAGCCACGGGCGGCCACTGCTTTCTCCAAGAGAACCCAGAGGCTTAACTAGGCACCACAGCAGGCTCGTCAGCACGGCTTGGCCCCGAAATGGCATGGGCTGTCACTGTGGGCTGGAATTTCCCAATTACTGCAGATAATATCTACCTTAATTGAATGGGGTCCAGATAATGTCATTATGCACTGCGTTCCCCAATTTATTTAATATACGTGTGTACACATATATTTATGCCTCACTGCTGCCACGAGATTGCTAAATGGTGAGGTTAATAATAAAACATTTCGACAGGAGTCATCAGCTTTAATTTAAGGGGTGATCTTTACTATCCTTGTGGTGCTCATTTTTCCAGAAAGCCGAGAGAGACACGGACAGATTGGAAAAGGCTCTCTCAGGCCTGTGGGCTAGGAGGTAGGGTGGGCAGGATTGCAGGGCAGGCTTCACATTTTCTAAGCAAGTTCTGTTTATCTACCTCCCTTTCAGGAGCAGGTTCAGGCAGTGAAAGAGAGGTGGGGGACTGAGGCAGAAGCCCCCAGAGTTTGATTCCAGGACTGGTGTGGGGTAGGGAGCCTGTTAGAAACACAGAGCTACAAGCCTTGGGTTGAGCAGGGAGGAGAGGCAGAGCAAGAGGACAGGAGGAGGCCAGGGTCAGTACTCAGCCAGTAGAGAAAGAGCTCCCAGGAGCGAGGGGGAAAGCCGCCTGCACTCTACAAGGGCCAAAGGCAGTGAAATCTCTAAATGAATTTTTGATAGTCCCCTGCTAACTAGGGCAGAGTTGACACAAAAACAAACCCTCCCTGCTCTTCCTAGGAGCCAGCACCAGACTGGGTGGGAGCAGCTGAAAGCTGGCGTCCTCTGCTCCAGGCCCCCTGCCCACCAGGGGAAGGTGCCTCCTCCCTTGGGTTGGCCTGAGCAACCAGCAGCTCATCTGCCAGCCCCAGCAAGCAGGCCAAAGCTGAGATGCCAGATCCCCCCGTGCCTTCTCCGGGCAGCAAAGGAGGCTACCACTCTGCAGAAGTGAGATAACCTTCCAGCCAGCAGCCTGCGGGCCCAGCTGCCCAGGCTGCCGGCAGGGTCTGCCCACTGGAAAGCTGAGTTCTAGGCTGAGCAGAGGAGGACAGCAGGGGTGGGCAGATGTCTTGGGTAGGTGGTAATTAGGGACTGCTGGCTCCACACTTGTCTAGGGGAGAGGATGTATCTCTTGGCTGTAATTATAACCCTCAGAAGCCGGTGGATCTTTGTGCCATCTTTTCCTGCCAGCTGTCCCCTTGCAGCAGGACAGGTTCCAGTGAGGCTGGGCTGGGGACTCCTCAGGAAGCGGGTGAGGGCTGCAGAGCCCTTCTGGCTTGGGCCTGCCCCCTGGCCCTTCTTGCTAGCACACTGCTCACTCACGCTCTCGCTCCATCACTCACTCCCAGGCTCCCTCACCTACCTCGGGCTGCCTGCCTGCCGCTGTGCAAGGCGCTCCCTCCTGGAAACGTCACGCCTCCAACAGATGAAGCCGCCCAGACGCAGGTTGGAAAGGGGGGAGGAGGGAGGGAGGAGCGGCCTATGCTGGGCCACTGAGGCGGAGAAAGCAGCTCAACTCCTGACATGCTCCTGCCTCCCCCTCCTCCCGCTCTGCCTGCTCAGGACCTGTTCCGTGTATCTCTGTTCTGTACATCCCCACCATCCCGTATCTCTCTCTCCTGAAAATCCACCATCAGCAGCGCATTCCTTTGGGTTAGGCATTGCCATCTTCCTCTTTGGGTCTCTCTTAAATGCAAAAGTCTCTGGGAAGGGTAGCCCTTGAAGTAACCAAGACCTCAGAGGGAGTAACTTTGCTGTTTTGTTTTTCTCTGAGAGGTGTGAAGGTGTTGACAGGTGAGGGACAGTTGATGGCTAAAAGGACAAAAGTTGGGGAGAGGTGAAGACGTGGTCACCTAATTCACAAGTGGGCAGACATACTCATCCAGGGCTAGTTAGGGGCTCAGGGGCATCAGCCCCAAAGGCCCCCACCCCATCCCAAAGGCAGGATTCTGTCTAAGGCCCTCCTGGAAGTGGTGGCCAGGAAGGGGGTGCAAGGGCTCTGACCCCACCCTCCACCACTGCCCAGGAAAGGTGATGGCCCCCTGCCTGGTGGGTGACCACATCCAGGAGACTCCAGACTCCTCAGTGGGAATTCTCTCTGCCACTTCAAGAAAGGTCCTCAGGACAGGCTCCCCACAGGTCCTCACTTCTTCGTGGAAGTTCTCCCACCACCTAGGCCCTGAGGCCTCTGAGGAGCTGAGCATGCATACCCAGAGCCTGAGGCCCAGCATCTCGCGTGCATCCAAGGGGAGAGTGGGACCGACCCAGGGCACATCCTGGGGGAGTGGGAAATGGGAACTAGAACATTCTTTACTTCCACTATGTGCTGGCCCCAAGGATGTGAGGCTGAGTAGCAGGCTGTGGGAATTAGGTGCCCCTTATGGGGAACTCTCAGAGCGCTGGCCACCCTGCCTACCCTGAGCCCCTACTCTCACCCCAAAATGGAGCAGGGAGGAACTATGCGCACACGCGCGCACACACACACACACACACACACACATACATACATACCTCCCCCATCACGGGGGCCTTTTTGCCAGACTGACAGAGGGGCAGACACACTAACCGCCGCTCCTACAGACACGTGGCTTCGGGCACCCCACTAGACAAACCCAGCTCAATACCGCAAAGCAGCTTTCTCCCGCACCAGGGGCAGGGATGCTGACAAGAAGGGAAAGAAGCAAGGAACCGCCTCCAAAAAGGACCTAAAGTCTGAAGGCAGGGGTGTCGCTCCTGGCCTGGGAGCAGGGGGCGCTCGTACGTTCGGGCCTCAGGACTCCCTGCCGCCGCCACTGCCGCCCATTTCAGCATAAACAGCCACAGACCGCCCCGGTGCGGGGGCGACTCTCTCAGTCAGGGCCTCCACCTCCCAGGCCGCCCCCGCGCAACCGGGAAGGGGGTGCTTCCAGCTCCTGGGTGCCGGGGAAGTCCGACCCCGAGGGGTCCCCCACCAACACACACACGCGCGCGCGCGCGCGCACGTGCGCGCGCGATCCGGCGGCCACAGAGGAATGAGTTCATCGGGGTCCGGGAGAGGGTCGGTCCAGAGTGTCCGAGGAGCACCTGACCCTTAAGTCCCGGGGCCGGGGGAGAGACCCCCAAACCCTAGGGCGCCGTCCCAACCCGCCGCGGCTGTGAGCAAGCAGGCGCCGGGCTCCGGCCGGTGGCGAAGGCGGTGCTGGGGCAGCCACGGGAGCGGGACGCGGTGCAGGAAAAGGAGCCGAGGCGCGCGAGGCTGTCACAGCCCTCCCGCCGGGAGACAGCAGGGAAGGGGTGCAGATAACGCCCCGCGCCCCCACCTGGCCTGCCTCCCCGCAGAGGGGCGCGCTAATGCCGCCGCCCCCACCTGAAAGCTGACACGACCCCCCACCCGGTAGAACCTGACATAGACCCGGACACCAAGACACTTTTCCCCCAGGCCCACAGAATAGCCGCTGTCCCATTCCGTCCCTTGGGGGCATTCAGAAAGCCGGGCCGGCCCCGAGGGAAGACCCTCCAGCCCCAAGAACTCCAGTCCGCTGGTCTTCCTCTGGGAGTCCTGAGCGCGGGAGCTCGTCAGAGGCCACCTCCCGGAGCCCCGGGGTCCCCGCCGCAGCCCGCGCCCTAGAAGCCGGAGGGCACGTTCCCCTCTGTCCGGTCCCCGCGGGCCATAACTCACCGAGCGCGGGCGAGGTCTGCGCCGCGCCGAGGGGTCGGTGGCGCGCCCGCCCGCCCCGGGGACGCGAGGAGGCGTCGGCCGGAGGCTGGTTCTTGCGGTGCCCAGAGCCGGGGCCGCGGCGGGCGGTGCTGACGCTGCGGACCGAGCCGCGCGCGGAGCCGCCCGGAGTCCTGGACGCCGCAGGGAAGAGCTGGCGGCCGCCCGGCTGCAGCCGCCACCAAGCACGCGGCGTTCGGTAGCTGCTCCAACGAGAGGGAGCGAGCCAGCTAGGGAGCCGCGGCAAGCCCTGCTCCGGCCGCCGGGGAGCCCAGCGTCCGAGCCGGAGGGAGCGGGCCAGGCGGCTCTGGGAATCGGGGTCCGGCCGAGGGGCTCCGGGGTAGGAAGCGAGTGGAGCGGGAGCTGAGCAGCGGGCGCAGCCGGCCGAGGTGCGGGCGCCGCGGCAGCGGCAGCAGGAAAAAATGAGAGCGAGCGAGAGACTGGAGAGCGAGGCAGACGCTGAAAGGGGAGGCTGCGGGAGGGGCTGGAGCGCTCGGAGCACGAGGGGGCGAGGGGACCGCAGCCACTCAGCCCGGCTCCTGCGGCCGCTGCCGCACTCAAGAAGGCGCCAGCCCAGCCCAGCCCGGCAAGTTTGCGCTGCAAGTGCGGGCCGACCGCGCAGCGCTTCCGCTGGCCTTTTAAAGAGAGCACCTGAGAACCCACCCCCGACCCGCACCTCCACCGCCGGAAGCCTGGGACTCTCGGAGCACACCGCCACCCTCCACGCCCGCCCTGCCGTCTGCTCCCTCGCCCGCCGCGCCCCCACCGGCGCCCTCTCCTGGAAACCCCTTTCTCCCCTCTTCCCGCCGTGCAGGTGTATCAGCTCATCGACCCCCAGGACGTGGCTCATCGACCCCAAAGGTCGAGGGTCAGGTAACACAGCCTCCCGACACACGTACTGAGAAGTACAGCAAAACAGCGATGCAAAGGGGTTGCGCTCCTCCCCACCCCCGTGCGTCACTAGAACCCCCACCCGCAGGGCTGCTTCTCGCACATCAGCACGAACAGCAGCGTGTGCCCCCATGTGGCATGTTCATTTGCACACCCCACTGCTTCTGGTTCAAGCATATGACACGGGAGAAACTGAGGCCCAGTGAGGCGATTCCACTTGCCCTTGATCGCCCGGCTTGTCTAGAGCCCATTTCCACTGAGGGCCTCTCCACCCCAGAGCCCTACAAGGCTAGGGGAAACCCCACCCCTTGGCCCACATCTCCTGGGTCTCCCTCCAGCATGGTTTGCAAAGTGTAACAGGTGGCCTGGGGCTGGAGAAACCCTCACCCAGCGAGAAGCTGGAGCCCCCGCTCTCCTTCCCAGGAGGCCGTATAAAATCCCAGGAGAAGGCTGGTGTTAGAGGCAGGCAGGGGAGGAAGGGCGGGGGAGCCATGTGGCCCTCTTAGGATTACAAGAGCATCTTGTCCCAGACTGCAGAAGCGGCTTCAATTAGAGCTGTGATGTGTGACTGTCCTTGTCCCGGGGAGGGTGCCCAGCACAATGCCACGGAGCTGGGGAGAGACAGTGGCTGGCCATTGGCCTCCCTATCCGTATCTCAGTCCTCCTGGCAGAGTGCCACCCTGTGCTCAACTGTGCCTAGGCCTAGGGGGAACTCAACTCTCCCTCACAGCCCAACCCCTAATTTCTACAGATAAGCCCCCTTATAGGTCAGGGGAATGACTGGGGGGGGGGTCTGGGAAGAGCAGGGTCTCACCCTCTCCCTCCTGGTCTGCCCTGTCTCCCTCCATGCTCCTTATCCAACACCCCTGCTCTTCCCAAAGACCCACTCAGGCACCCCTCCTCCAGAATTCTAGACTTACAGCGGGCCAGAGCCACATCTTGTTCACCATGGCTCATCCCATGCTTGGCACCTTGCCTAGCCCATAGTGTGAGCTCAATGAATGCTTGGTAAATGAATAAATGTTGGCAAAACACAAAACTCTCTTTGCTGTCACATGTAATGGCCCCAAATACATGTCTCATTTACCCAGTCAGACTGAAGTCTCTGATGGAAGGGCCTAGATCATGCATTTATTCATGTCTTTTTTGTGCAGCCAGCCATGACGGAGACCCTACTCCATCCCCAGCCCTGGGAAGACACATATGACTGCACATCACCCTGCTCTTGAGAAGTGCCCCCCGTGGCCATGAGCACCTCAGCACAACATGTTTTAGAGGGACAAGCTAAGGCCACGAAAATGCCTGCCATCCAGCAGCTCTGCCCAGTCAAGTGTGCACTGCTCTGGGCTTGCAGGGAACTCAAGTCACTCCTGGAGAGGCTGTGTCCTTGAGAACAGCCTACCTGGGTTCAAGCCAAACCCCGCTGGAGCCGGGGTCCTACTGCCCAGGGTCCTTCAGTCTCCTACCTATAGAACAAGGACCATAATAATGCCAACCTCAGAGCAGGGCTGCAGGGAGGGCATGCCAGAAGCCACCCAGTTGAGGGGATGCTGGGAGGCTCAAATTCAACTGCTTGGGCTTGACAAGTGACGTGTCCTGTCTTGAGTCTGTGTCTGCCCAAAAGATGAGAGTCGTTTGTTTGATTCATGCAAAGTTATCATAAGGGCTAGCGCCTGGTCACACTGCCAAAGCAGGCATGAAAAGGGAATGAAATAATATATGCACAGCACCCAGTCCTGGGTTTAGGTGCCTCTAAGCAGGAGCTACTGCAATTTTTACACAAGAGTGTAGTCCTCAATATCCTTTTGCTGAATATCCTTTTCTTGAATGAATGAATGAATGAATCTGAAAATAAATGGGCCATGGTTTATTGAGAGCCAAAACTAACCCACACTCTCCCCACCCCCTACCCCTCAGTGTTTTCTTCACTCTGGCCATAATTATCCTGTCCCCCACCCCCCACCAGCTGTGCTGCAGAAGGCTGGGCAGGCTATACTTTTCAGGGGTTAAAAAAAGAAACACTGTTGGCTGGCAGATGGCTGAGCTTGTGGACTTGTCCAGTTCAAAGGTCCCCAGCCTGAGGCCTAGCTCTTCTGGGCAGCCATCCTGAGCCATTCCAGGCCTCTAGGCCTCCCAGCCCCTGACAGCAAGACACACACAGACTCACACACACAAACACACAGATATATACACTCACATACATGGAGACATTCAGATACACATACACAGGGACACACATATATGTGCACACATACACAGACACACACACACACACAGAGACCTTCAGACACACACATACACATAGACATACAGACACACATACCTCAAGGAACTTTAATTGGTGTTCCCTGCCCTGTGGGAGCTGGGGTCACTGTGTGGAAACAAGGGAGCTACAGAGCCACCTCTGTGGGAGAAGGATGATCAGAAGTGACCTCAAGGAGTCATGTAGGAAGGGCCTGGTCCTGAGCCAGCTGGTTCGAGGGCCTCTATTCCAAACTGCCCTCTTCAGCAAGCCGTACCCCCTTCAGAGCTCTAACTGGGAGGGGGGCACAGGGCTGCAAGCAGGAGACCAAGTCCTGAATGCTAAGACTGTGTGACCTGGGGCAGTCCCCCAGCGTCTCTGAGCACTGGTCTGCCCATAGGTGAGATGCAAGGCGGGGCTGAGGTCCCTCTAGGCAGGGATGCTGGGATTCAGGGTTGGGTCTCATCTTGAAACTTTTAAAGGTAGCTGACCTGATTGGCACTGGTGGGGTAAGCAGGGTGGTCATTTTAATCCACGATTCTTGTGTGTACAGGCTTGCCCAAAGAAAAGGAGATGCCATGTCAACATTGGGGGAGTGGGGCCTGAGGGCAGGAGAGAAAGAGGCAGGTAGTCCTAGAGAAAATAATAATACAAAGTCCTGCACCTGTGTTACATACCTTTGTGCCCTGGAAGTTCTTCCTGAGGTCTGACCTCACTACCTCCTGCTGCAGCAGAATCTTTCTTCCCGCTCTTATTCTGGCCTCCCTAGTAAGGGAAAACAATTTGTCCACTGCTTCCCACCTACTGCGTTGGCAACTCAAACCCACTAAGTTGCTTCTATGACTTCTTCATTTCAAAATAATCCTAATAGGATAAGGCAATTGTCTTTGAAAATCCTGAAGTTTAGAATTTGTTGAAATATATTGAAGTGAACTTGAAGGTACAGGGGCCAAGGAGAATCTGGCAGGCCTGGAACACCTGATAAATGGTCCCCATGTTAAGTTGACCCAGCCACCGCCTCAGCCTCGTCTGATGGGTTTCAATTTTGGTTTCTCCTAAACCAGGCCATTAGATGGAAATGTCTCTGATAGGGGAGTTTATTTAAACAATAACTGTCCCCTGGCAGGACATTTCCAGGATGAAGAGCTGACAAGAGCGAATAGAATGGCCCCAGGCTCTCCAGAGAGCCTTAAGTCATCTATAGGCATGGACGAGTTGAAGGCTGGGGTCCCAGGCTGAGGCCCCCTCCAACTCACCCCTAGAGTTAAGAATCCTGGGGTAAGTCCTTCCTACATGCCTCCCAAGGTCACCACAGCCCCTTGTCTTTGACCCACAGAGTACTGAGTCTCAAGGATATTGGAACTCTGAAATTCCCCCAGCCCAGGCTCTGGGACAGGCTGGGACA